CTGCAACTAACGATTATTTTGCTAATCGATTAGTTGGACGTTTTTTTTTTTCTTCTTCGATTAATCGGATAAAAACCCCAATTTTATTTTTTCATTTTATTGACAAAAAACACTTCCACATTCTGCCCAATGTCCTTTAAACAAACGTGTCAACTGAATGCTATGAAAATAGTGCTTAACAATTTATTAGACACAGATCATAATAAAGATAAAACACAAATATTTTAGGAATCTGTCAAAAAAAAAAATTAATCTAAAAATGTTATTGTCATTTATTGGGCAAATATCAAACTAATTTGGCTAGTATTTATTCACATATTAACAAGAATGTCCTCCTATGCCTTCCATAACAGCTTTCATTCTTGCTGGCATTGTTTAGGTACTTTTTGACTGTAATTGGGAATCTGAGAGAAAAAAACACTATAAAGTGCTTGACCATTTTTTTTGTGTGCCTTTTTTCAGAGATAACAGCAATAATTATATTATAGCATAGAAATAGTCAACTACTGTTACTAAAGAGCGTATGCACATTGGAGGACTAACCTATACAGAAAGCTAAAAAGTGATTATAATCACCAATACTGTTAGTTTAGAGCAGCAGTGGCACAAACCTTACATAACTTGTTAAAAACCTTACATTTATTTACACTTGCACTTAATTTGTTTAAAAAAATTATTAGGCACTGTATTGAATGTAGTTTAAATCTCTACATTAAAAATTAAAATAATAATAATGGATATTTTGATATATTTATTCTAAAACATAACAAGGATACCGGATGACTTTTAGCAATAAAAATGAATTTGTATGGCACAAATGGCATTTATAGTCCGTATTTCATATTTCCTTAATGTCTTGTACCTTTGACGGTGTTAAACATGGTGTCACGTGGATGGGAATATGCATAGAAATGATATGCAGATGAGGTTATGCATAGTAAAACTAGGCGTTGTAAGCTCCATATATGGTGATTTCGGGGAGGAGTCGGGGTGGAGATGCATGTACGCACAATCTTCCCCTGACTGGGATTTATAAAGGGCTTTTTGCGCAGGTTCTGGCATACGCATGGTTTTATAAATCTGAAAACTTTTGAGCGTACGCAAAATCTAGCTTTTGTGCCTACGTACACTTTTAGGATGAAATCTACGGAGAGTTTTATAAATGAGACCCCTGGAGCCTTATAAGGGAAGAATATTTAGTTTAGACCTAGGGCAGAATGCACCTTCATTCAAAGAGTTAACTGACATAGGCCTTGTCCCAAATAGAGCCCCCAGCCTTTGAGAATTTGGGATTTTTATTGTTTTTTTTACATTTATTAAATGATTGTTCCTTGTTTCATCTCAAATCTTTCTACATCTTTATGGATAAAATTCTTCAGTGTTTTGATTTTAAGTAATATTGTCTAAAATAAGTAACAAGTCATTTCATTTAATCAATTTTTATACATCTCTCATTTGTCAATAAAGGCACAATATAGGCACAATATGACAAAAATATCCATAAACCACTAGAACGGTGTTATATATTTTGCTGACTTGTGTACTTACATTATCCCAAATGTTTTGAAGAATGTTTAAATCCAGAGAAATAAGCAATTTTAACTAGTGACATGGACCGTATCCATAGTGTCATTGTGTCGCCTGCCAATGACGTCATAACCCCTCAATTTCCGGTTTTGTTTTGTAGAAAACATGGAAACACCAAAGACGCTTTAATATGTTGTGCTTTTTAATAGACCGGTGACGACCGCACGAGTAGCATAATAACCGAACTTTCAAATGTATCTAGTATGATAAAACAGTGCTGCTTTTTTCCCCACATACGCACGACCGGAAGGAGCGGAAGCGGTCGACTGTGGCATAATAAAAGCTCCGCTGCTTTCGAGCCGTGTGTCACACTCGTTCAGCGGCCTCGTTTCGCTTCGACGGCTTTCAGCCTTACCCTGCTTCATTCTAGTACGTTAATAAATCATTAGCTCATCCATGAACATGATTTCTGCCTGA